TGCATGCCAATAGATCTGACCCACTGCCACCTTACACTCTCTTACCACTGTCTACATCTTGTCATGGGGAGGATACATAATTCATACCAATGAATGGCAAGTTTTGCATGGTTCTACATGATAAAACAACTGGAGTGTTTATTTAAACTATGGAAATATCCTTGCGATGACATTGACTACAGAGTTCGTACTTTTGAAAAGTGTAAGAGAAGTATACTTAATTCTTTGTTGATGTGAAAATAAATACGATTGGATTTTAAAAGAAATCTGGACTATTCCAGTCAGCCCACACCACAATGTAGCCATTCATGGCATGTGTCACTGCTCAGCCACCTTGAACTGGCACTGCTGCTTTTGATGTGACTAATGCTTTTCATCTATCCCTCTGGTAGGTGTAGGGATCACTTGTGTCACTGTATCATAAAGCAGCTGTAATGATTGCTGTGATTTAAGCTGGCTTTTAACTATTTTTTTTCCCACAGCTGAAGGGGGGGCCAGTTAATCCAACTGAAGTTGACCGTAGAGCTTTATCACACGTCATACAGATATATATATATATATAAAGTCAAGACAATTGCACAGGTGATGCAGAAGAGAAGGGGAAACGGAATGTCACATTATGAGGGTGGTTAGAAAAAGGGTCAAACAGCTAACAGGAGCCTCCACTAGGAAGAGGCTTCATTTTTAAGGTTTGCATCAGCCTTTACTATAACTTCCACAAACCCTGTTATTTCCATTTTAGTGTTTGATTGAACGAGACCGAATGGCAAACCATTATTTCTTAATGTCAGTTATTTATTCCAAATGAATGAAACCTCAGCTATCTGCCCCACTCTTATCTGTCCAAAACCATTAGAATCAACATCCCTGCTTTTAGTGTTTCTAAACATAGGATTTATGAGTGCGTGTTGTGCCTCGGTTTCACATTAAAACAAAATCTAGCATGGAATATAGACGGATCTCGAAACACAGTGGTTTGCTGCTTGCATCAAACCACAGCCACACCAGCTAACAACGTGGCAGAGAATATATAGCTTATCTGACGAAAACTGCATCCTCTGGACTGGGTGTCTCTCCAATCAGCGTCTCAAGGATCCAGGAAGAGAGATGGGCGGTGTCCCAGCATAGGGACCAATCTCACATAGGGGACCAAACATTCTACTTTACATACAAGAAAAACACTGGAAAGAATTAGTCATATGGGACAGGCGCCAGCCGGGGCTGTAGCATGGGAATACAGTTGGAAATTAACCTTTAGCAATCGCAGGATGATAATTCATCAGCAATCCTTTGTTAAGAAGAGACAAGTGGCCATAATGCTGCTTTGTTCTATGATTATAAAACACTACATTACATTTTCCGCCCTTTGTGGCACATGTAATTTAGCAAAATGGCAAAATTCCCCAAATTAGAGAAGTGTTTTGTCTTTTGTGGGTATATTTGCCTGTAGCATCAGTTAACTCACTGCCTCAGCTCAGTTGCCAAGACAATCATATCAGATGCTGATAACACATTTATAATAGACAGCCCTGTAGGAGGCTCTTTATACAGTTTCAGCCACTCTTTACTTCACCAAAGAATTGTTGCATCAGGATCTGGGCCAAATGTTATAGAGGAAAATGTCAGCCTTTCCTCGAGGACCCACTGATTCACATCAGGGCTCATTTTTTATTTAGTGGAACCTGTCACAATGGCTGGGTGACACTGCACTGCTTGGCAAATGAGGTCAAAAATATTCATATTTATTGTCAGTGATCCCTCTAAATCAGAGCAGTTGAGAAGTGTTTTTATGAGCGGTGAGGGTATTAGCCCCTGTGATACAAAATGAACCAATAAGTCTGAGCCTACGTCAAAAGATAAAACACTAACAGCACCATAACCTTCATTTGCATTGGCTTGATAGGGACATTTACTGGTGCTGTTATTGACGGGGGAAGAGGGATGGTAACTGCTGTCAAAAGTGTTATTAGATGCACAATCATATCAGACTTCAGGATCTTCTGTCACTGCCACTGATACTCAACGCAAGTGCTTTTCTAGCTTGCCGGTCAGTGGCAAGAAGATATGTATTGTAGAAAGGTTGTTAAAATGGACAAACATTTACTTATCATATTTATAGTAGTAATAATACTTCATGTAATTTGTTCTGTACATCATGTTTCACTCTGAATTGTCCTATAATACAGTTCATTTATCATATTTTGTGGGTTGTATTGTAATGCTGAGATTAGACTACACAATATGAGCCTGATAATGGCTCAACCAGACAGATGTGGGGCATTGTGAACCAAAATGAGCGTCTGGCTGGACAATTGCTCCATTTTATCCCGTGTGGTGTGTCATAGTGGAAGATAATCAACGCAGCATTTATAATGCCTCTCAACATCCTAACAAAAAGACTAGTGTGTCTAAATGTTTCTAAATCTATGTTCCTTTATCTAGTCTGACAACTTCTATGATGTTTATTTCATCTCGATGAACCTGCACTTAGTGAAAGACGGCAGGCGGTGATTGGTCGGGGTCCAAAGTGAATCTGCTGTGAAGACACGGCAAGAGTTTATGACTCCTTTAATATGACAATCTAACATGATCACCCGGTGAGTGAATTGTACTCTTGGTTTTGGAATGGCGCTTCTTGCCTTTTAAATCAGCATTTTGGAAAAATATAAGAATACTCACCCATTTAGAAACAAATTTGATTGGTCACTGATGGAAAAATGGTTAGAACATCACTCACTTTCTTTCAGAAACAAATAACAAACACAGCTGGAGGCATCTCAAAAAAGCATCTGGGTGAGCTACAGTAGCTCTCCTTCAATTTTCCCCTGGTATATTTGTTGTTGTTCGGATTGACTTCTCTTTCAGTTCTTTCTCTTTTTCTCCACACTTGAGCTAAACTCCAAATTGGCAACTACCAGAACTGCACTCAGTTTTCAATCTTGTTGAGACTTTCTGCGGACAACTTAATTCTACAAAAGGCCTACCAGACACAGTCTGATGAAATCAAACATGTTTGAAAAAATTTTGTCTAGGGCTGGAGTTCAAAGGTTCAACCTCCATTACAATTTAAGGACATAGTCTGCACCTGCATTACAGCCAAGTGTCTAATCTGCCCCTACTTGTCTGGAAACGCCATTAGTGCATCATAAATCTTAAATTAAATGTCCTTTCTTTAAACACTCTTTAAAAAAAGGATATGTTCTAAATTAATCAGTTAATCTCAGTTTCATCCCACCTGACTATAATATCATGTGTTGACTCATTATCATTGCCATTTTCCCAGTGCCCATTGCAGTATATGTAGTATTATGATCCTGGAAGCCTTTTTAGACCCCTCTCAAGGTCAGGGGGGGGATTGAGAAAAACATTGGTTAAGCATGGTCGTGGGGAGGGGCGGCAGGAGGGCTTTTTGAGAGCTTTTCCATGTCCTCCTCTTTGAGGTTTTTTTAATTGTTTGGGTCCAAAGCTGGCTCCTCAGCTGGAGCTCGTCTGCAGGGCTTTGCTGAGTCACTCCCACCTAATGGAGAACATCTGCTGCCATGCTTTTTACTACTCACAGAAGAGATATATGTGCCTGTACGGAGGGGGTTGGATGGTGGGGAAGACGGAGGGGAGGAATTAGTGGGATAAAGCAAGCTGCAGTCAAGAAATGAAGACAATCTTATGGTTTATGGTGTTATCTGTCAGCTATGTAACTCATTTTTTGTACTGAAAGCCCTCCACCGCCTGTAGTTTTATGATACTGTACAGTACATTGTTTATATTATCTGTGCCAAACTTCTGTTCTGTATGCTATATATTGGACATGGCCTTGAACCTATCAAGGTGAAGCTCATTTTATTTGCATATATTTGGGTGTTTAATCCCCACAAACAGCCAATGTTATGTTACCAGCTATGGAGACGTTTGCTTATACCTAAATACCAAGTGTCTTTTACTCCTTTATATTGTAAATGAGGGCTTTACCTCAATGTATTTCCAAGTTCAAATCAAAGTTGAATGAATTAATGGAATAAATATCTGTTAGCTACGGCAGCTAGCATGTGTGTCTGTGTGACTCTTTTAGTTATTTTATCGACTTTTTCCTCTCGTCTCCGTACCTTCTATAGCCTCGAGATAAGATTTTTGCTTAACATAAACATTTTTAACTTGTGCAGACACGTCTTAACCTCCAGTAAAGGAGTGTCTCTTTGCATTCACATTTGGAATGTATGAAGCCATTCAGGCACTCAGGAATGTTTTTATGCTAATATTGGCCCAATATTTCTGATCCAGCGCACAGTATAAACAAATGCATACATAGTTTTTTTGATACCCCACCATATCATGGATGGATGGATGGATGCATGTTTTGCTTATCCTTCTAACCTTTTTTTCATAATCCAGAGTATATTGTGATGGAAGATTACTGGATTAATGGTTTAAATTATGGATAAGTAACCCAGTTAATAGCTGTTGGTATCAAGGAAACATTAAGAAGGAATGGATCTGCTGTGGCTCAGCAGGTAGAGTGGGTCAACCATTAATAGCAGGGTTTGTGGTTCAGGCCCTGGCTCCTCTAGTCCACGTATCAGAGTGTCCTTGAGAAAGATACTGAACCCTAGTCGCTCTCGCCTCGCAATAAAGGTGCTGCATTTTTAATTTTTATGGTAGGAACTAGTAGTAAAAGCACTGCTTCTTCCTTGTATTATGCCTTCATTAATAGGAAGCCTTTGATCTTGAGTTTTGAAGACCCACATAAGATTATGAATATATGAATGGGATTTCCCCCGTTTCAGCGATTTCTGACACATAACTCCCATTAGCTTCTTTTGAAGGTTATTTTTTTCCTCTCCTGTCTTGAAAATCTAGCTTTGCTTTGTTGTTCTGATATCTCTAATAATTCTGTTAACTGCTGAATTCAATTCAACATTATGGTTTAGATCTCACAGCAGACAGTTGGTCATACTGCAGGTGCTCTGGAAATATTAATATTTATTGTTTTTTTCTTTCCCCAACAGATTTTTCTGTAGTCTAGTCCACGGCATCTGCTGCAGTCATGTTTAGGAACAGCTTGAAGATGTTGCTGACGGGAGGGAAGGCCAACCGCAAGAGTCGCAGCAGTGGTGAGTCTGTTTTCTGATGCCAGCCACAAACAATGACGCATCTGCCTGTCAGCACACAGAAGGTGGTCACTTGTTCTGTGGGTGTATTTTAGGAAGCAGGAACATCCAGCTCAGAAGATGAAATTTATATATATATATATATATATATATATATATATATATATATATTCAGGTTCTTGTAGAGTAATCTGTGACTGCTGGAGACAAGAAGAAAGCTGTTTTATGTTTAAAATAGAACTAAACCAACTCATCATTTCTGCTGCTTGAATAGCTTTACCTCCTGTTGTGAGAACCTGTGAACACCTGTTTCCCACTGACACTTGAAACATGCAGTGTCATGCTGTACTGTGGAGATTTTTGTTGTCATTATCATACATTCACAGCAGTTGATTTCTGTGCCGCCGCCCATGCTTTTGAAGCTTTGCTCGGGAGCATGACCATAACACGACGGTTCCTGGCTCAACCAAGCTCTCTTTACGCCGATTCGGTAGTTCTGTTGCACCCGCTTAATATTTGCTTGTTTTGTCGCAGGAGGTTTGAGATTTGAACCTTGCTGTTTAATGATTCACTGTGCCATCAGAGCTTTAATACACAGTGTTAATCTGTGTTGTAAAGCAAACTCAACAGTTCCTGCAGCTGTTTCACGGTAAAGGCTTCCCACCAGAGAGCCAGTTTTTGCAGGTTGGGTGACCCTCAAACAGATCAAGTTTTCTAGGTCAAGCCATACATTTTAACATGGTTTTATCATGCATATTCGGGTGTAGTTATCTGGCCTAATGCGCAGGGTATTTGAAGGTCTTAAACAAACTTATAAGTTATAAGGTATTAAAAAACTATGTCCTGCTGTGGACAGTAACGCTAGTTTGTGCTACATATCAAACTAAAAGATTGATTGTTGTGACAGGGCCTGAGGTTGTGTACTCATCATGGGCCAGTGCCAATTTTAGTTAAAAGGTTCATCCATCCATCCATTTCCTGCTGCTTATTTGTCTCCATGGTTATTATATATAGCTGTGAATTCCTCACAAAAAAAAAGCTACAAATGGCAATAAATTCAGTTCAATAAATAATAAAGATCATGGGACTTATTGCCCCTACTGGTTTTTCAATCACTCTTTGACTGGTGCAATTGGCACGATTAAGTATTAAATTTAATTTTATGTTGTATTAAATAGGTCTTAAAAAGTCTTGGATTTAATATGGTGAACACTGCATCCAGACTTCTCAGCATCCGCTGCTGCACATTACAGACAGCTCAATCAAAACCATTTCTCTGTGTGGCTGACAAACCCAACCTGTATCCCTTTTTCCTCACAGTAAGGTGAAATAACTATTAAAACGCTGTAACCATGTTACCCAGCCACATGAAACCTTTTGTTCCTACACATGCATTACTGTCACTCATTCCTTATAAAGCTCTCACTCAGAGGAACAGGCCTTTTGATGTGGTAGATAATCCCAGCCAAAAGCAACACTTGGGAGAGCTCAGAGTGTTCATTCTGTAAAAGCACAGTCGCTCTTATTTGAATCTAATAAGTTTCAGGTTATTGCCAAGCCAATAACAACCTCCTCTCTCTTAACTGTCTCCCCAGGATAGGGTCTTTATTATGGTGTGAAAATCTGCCTTCTAAGAGCTTTGTCCAGCCAAAAACTTGATTTTGACAGATTAATTCATTTTGTATAGCTTGAGCTTGAAATATTCCACAGTATATTATTTCACCATCTCTAGCCTTTTCTCCACTACTTGAATTAATGTATTTATAAATATCAGAAACCTATGTGCAGTGGTTTGGGAGGCCTTTAAAGTGGTGTATTGATACAATCAGTTTAACCGAATATCTCTTATTTCATCTCAGTTTGAAAAGATGTTTTACAGAAATTAGTTTGTCACTTTACTGACTGTCGCGTTTTGAAAAGTTTTGTGGCAACCATAAGGTGTCAAGTTAAAGACTGAACTACACTTTTACCAATATTCTGCTACTTATGCAACTAACTGTTATATTATTCATTGTCTGTAGACCTCAGCAGGCCAGGCTTTCTTTCAAGGCACAACAATACCTCATTTGACATTTGACTTCCTGCTTGTTGTCAGTCTTACTTGATTTAAAACCTCTTTTCCGCTTGGTGGAGCACAGGTCATCTGCAATGCTCTTGTTATCTACCAGCTGCTGACTATTACAAGAATGCTCATGAACTGGTGACAGAGCCTTGCTGAACAAAACTTGCTGCTCTAAAGCTATTGACTTGCATTCTAATTTTGAATGAAATATGACAAATAAATTGCATTGCAAAAAACTTGCATAACTCCTATACATACTGTTTACACCCATTGCATCCTTTGATTCATTCACTTATAATGAGATGTCCTTCACCGCGAGGCTTCAAGGCAGATGTGAACTTGCTGCTAACAAAACCTACCTCCCCTCTGCTTTCAGTGTGTTTGTGTATTTGTGTGTGAAGTGAAGAGGAAACCAAGCAGTAGCGCATGACTGGAGTACCCTTGAGTGTTTTGATATCTGTTGCTGTCACTTTGCAGGGAATCCACTCCTCCCAGCAGACGAGTGCTGATCTTACAATCTGGCTCCTCCACAGAAACATCTGTATCTCACCATTTCCTACAGTTTGTAGGACATATGTACATGCTCAAGAAGACGCATGCACTGTCACGTTTGACCTTTATTTAAAGACACAATTTACACTTTACAAGTACAAAATGTTCAAGAAGACGAGACCCAGAAATACTGTGTATATATACAGACATGCTTTCTCTTAGCTTCTCTCCCTTCCAAGGACATCTGGAGGACTGGTTCTAGCAACCCTGACTTATCAGCTTATGACAGACAGGGAGCGCTAGAAAGCTACATCCCACTCCTGCTGTACTGTGGGAGGTGCACTTGGCTCAAAGAGAGGACTTATCATTGTTAAAAACTGCCCCTATATGAGGATGCACTGGCTGCTGAAATTGGTCTGTAGTTCAAATGTGAGATTGTGAGATAAGATGATCGTCCTCTGTGTTTGATGCAGTTTCAATTGAGCTTCTGGCTTCAGGAATGCCAGAGCTCTGAAGGGGGATATAGCCGCTAATCTGAAGACAACAGACGAGCCAGCTGTCCCTTGATCTGCACTGGAGAAATTGTGTGAGCCCCAAGTTACTAAGCTGGTGAATGGCATTTTTTAAATTGAATAACACAGATTAGCTGCTCTGATTGTGATGATGTTGAAATGTATTAATCTCTATTGTGATACACTCAGGGAATAGGGTGTTTTTTTCTCAGGAAACTACATTGTGCTGCCTGTTTTGTCCTCAAACTGTTCTTTTCAAAGGTATAATAGGCTAACATAATAGGCTGTTAAGACATCGCTCCACTGTTTTGTCTTATGAGGCACATTTTCACACCTTGAGTTGTGGTCGGATCCGAGGCCAAACAAGTTCCATTGATGCCTTTTAGCTGGTTCCTTTTCACCCTGACTTTTTACAAACGGGCAAGGCATTAAGCATGACGTCATGTGGACTGACAGCTCATCGGTTGATGATCGACAGTGTTTGGCAACTGTTATCCTGCATCGTCATCGCTACACGGACCCACATGGGGGAAGACCGCAAGTCATGTGCATTTTACTGAGCCTTGTGTCTTACTTATCTCGGGAAACTACATTGTGTTTGGTTCTCAGGCACTATCATTACTAGTTTAGTCAGTCTGCAACTTGCTGCCATTCTTCTCAGTCCAACCACCCTGCGATTAATCAGACGCCTTTTAAGATGTAAAGTGAATGTTCACTCGAGAGCATGTGTAATCTCACATCCTGAGATTCAGGCTGTTTAAACAAAAAGGACAAATGTCTTGTAGTTATGGCAGCAGCAGTGTTTAGATATCAGATATGCTCTAAGTCTTTTCGTTAAGACACAGATCAGACTTCAACCAGTATGTGTATGTAAGGCTTTCTTTGTGACAGATCAGCCTACTGTTACTGTTGCCTGCGGCAGTTTCCTGTACAAGTACACCCGTCTGGAAAGCCAAAATGTGAAGGAGAAAGAAAATGTCCCCTCATGGTCTGGGATATTACATTTTGCCTTATACTTTCTAGCTCGAAAATGGAGAAGTGTGGAGGTGTTTGTTTCATTTTTGTGGTGTTATGGGTAAATTTCTGACTGCCATCTCATTCTTGCTCCCATCAGTGGGTCTAGACTTGAAACAAAGTCAACTGCCTGACACTGCAATTACAGTTTATGGCATTGGCTGATTGGAAAATGAGAAATTGGGTTGAAAGGTTGGGGTGTCTGGACAGGGAGCTGTTGCATGACTAATAAGCACTGAGAGAGATGGGCTTGAGTGTGGCAGTTGAGCGGACCAGATGTAGTTCACACACATTCGCACGTGCTCTCACCAGGAGTTGACATTCATTTTGGATTAAGAAGATTTAGCTTTACTCACCTGAAAATGGAATAAAATACAGTAGTGCTTTACGCACCCACATGGCGAAATCAAATTCTCAACTCACCTCTGGTTTCATTAATTCCATTTCATTATTTGATGAATCAGGGAAAATCCCTGCACTCATGTAGCAACATGGATACATTTTCAAAATGATCTTGTATATATAAACGTTTTACATTGTTCATAAAGATAGGGAAGTCTCTTTCTTGACAGTTCATGCTCAGCAGATGGATTAGTATTTTAGCTTTTGATTGATGATTCATGCTAAAATAATATATCTACCCCCAACACCATTCAGTGGTTGGTCTGCTTTGCTTTCACCCCACAAATTAACTGCACCAGAGTTCAACTGACAGCGTTCACACTGGCCCAATTGAACCGAACTAAACTGGCAAACGCACTACAGTTCGATGGATCAGGTTAGGTGTGAAAGCAGTCTGTGGTCTGTATATCTGTTTGATTTATGCATATCTATGGCTATCACAATGCTGGTTTTCCGTGTTGTGCTATTGGTGCACTGAGAGTCTTGTGAGATGGATGATTCTACAACTTGATTGATCCAAA